CCGTATATGGGGACTGACTTCCATCCACAAGGGTTCACTTCATTGTCGACGCTCGATACAGTCCAGCTGAATTTTTTCTTTTTTAAAGAAAAAATCATTTTATTATTATTATTATTTATGTTTACTCAACTACAGCCATTTAGCTGGACTGAAGAACTGGCTTAGAAGTTTGAATTACTTATCTTTTTACATATATATTAGGAGGAGAATTCGAACTTGCTTTGTGGCTAGAAATATGATTGTGTTCAACACTTTTATTTTAAAAAATATTGGCAGAAGGAGAATTGAAGCTAGTTTCATAATTTTGAGATGAAGAAAAGTGTTTATATTATAAATAATAATTATTAATAATTAAATAATTCACTATTAACTGTTCTTCAACAATGAAACTAAACAATTGCTTGACATTTTCTTTCATCATGATGGAAAAAAAGCTTCTTTAAAAAAATGGAACTAGTTGAAAACATAGCACATAGCTTGCTTGTTCTCATGTACAATATAAATATTTTCACCAAGTAATGAGACAAATATTCTAATCTAATTTCCTTTCCGCCCTCCCACTACATTATTATATTTTTTTATAATAATTTTTTGATATTTAAAAATTATATTAAACCATAATAAATTTAAAAATCAAACTGCTTCAAATCTGATAAGAAAAAGCTTTTTAAATACATAATTTTCTATTCATAACTTAAAATTTTATTAAGTAGAATCAAATTCTTTTCACTTAAATTTTATACATCGTTATGATATATATATATATATATATATATAAATAAAGGTAACTGTAAAAGGAAAGAGATAAAACGCGTCTTTCCACCTTTGTTTTCATTTTTTCCCCCATTTTCTGTCCAACCAAGCACGTAATTTACCCTTACAAATTCATCTCATCTAGGGTCAGAGGTTTTTGCCCTCGCTTAAGAGAATCAAGAAAATGTTCGAAAACAAAAACCTGAATTGGAATCCTCAAGACTCCACCTTGCTCATATCCATACTCCTGATATGACTTCTTTAGCAATTCTACGAAAATTGGGTAACTCAACAATTTAGCGCTAACTACAAACCTCTGCACCTCTTCAACTCCAGCGTAGATCGGAAAGTACCCCTTTGGTACATCTGATCTCTGCTTTTCTTTAGCCATCTTTTCATGGCCGAAGATGGAGAACCTTAATGAACGAGCCGCTTTTGCTCGTGACAGTTTTCGGATAAACTTCTTCATTTTTAGACTGAGAAAAACAGACTGGATTGAAATGATCAACAAGAGAGAAAGAGAAGCAGGAGGAAAATAAGCCTGTTAGTTATTACAACATTCTCTCCTGGGGCCTGCCTGAATGGAATTGGGTACCAACCAGCTGCTTAATATATACTAGTACCAGTATATCACACCTCAGACTGTTAGGCCACATAGTTTTTAAATATTTGTTTGTTAAAATACTGATATTTTTATTGTGATGTTAAAAAACTACTTATTACCGTATTTGTTATTTGATAAATAATAAAATAATTGATATTTATTATTTAACAAGCTCAAATTAATTGATGCACTAATATTTTTAAGGAAAAATGTATATTAGTCTCAATTTTCATAAAAAAAAAATTAAAATCTTAATTTAGTGAATATTTTCAAAAACTATCGGTGAGATTTAATGTTTTCTTGATATATATCATGTATGTTAATTTTTAAATTGATAAAATACCTATAATTATTTGATTAAGAAATTTATATTTTCTAATATATATTTAATAATAATAAATTTTCTATAATTAATAAATTAGTTATATATATTCAATCAATTTAAAATTTGATTTGTATGATTTACATAAATAAAATACTAAATATAACAGATGATTTTTAAAAATATTCATTAAAAATATTATTTTGAAGTTAGAATTTTTTTTTTTTTTTTAATTGATACTGATATACACTATTATCTATTTTTAATACTATAATTGTTTTAAAAAAAAATATCAATGTATACGTGGGCCTAGGAATTTAATGTGTAGCTATTGTGACGTGCACCATCTTCTATTTTTGAATTTGTTTCCTTTTGTGTGCGGAAAACGGATAATGTTACCAATTTTATGAACAATTGATATCTGATTGTGATTTGGTTGTTTTTATAATTAATTAGTTTTCCTTTTTTAGGAATATGGCAAGTTTGTATTTCTCTAAAATTTCCCTCCAAGGGTATGTACAAATATCACTACTAGATGTTGTGAGTATTTCGGTCAAGAACAATGACCGAAATAGTGCATATTATAACCGAAGAGAAAACAATTCGGTCAAGCAAATTAACCAATTTGTTGGACTGAATATGGTCTCCCTGAATACTATTTCGGAGAAATTTTCATCTTGACTGAAATATATCAATAATACGGTAAAAAAAAAAAGACCGAAATTGTACCTCATCAGTAAAAAATGATTATATTCGGACAAAAAATATGACCGAAATAATTAATAATATTTTAATTTAATAGGTCGGTCAATACAACTGACCGAATAGTATGTAAGGGATATTTTTGGTAATTGAGCTAAAAAATCATCTCTATTTCGGTCAAGTTGCTTGACCAAAATATATTGGAAAATTCTAGATGGATTTCAGAAATCTTGGCGGAAAATTAACTTTATTTCGGTCAAACCCCTTGACCGAAATATGTTGCCAAAATTTGGGGGGAAATTGGAAAAAATTGGCCGCCCAATTAACTCTATTTCGGTCATTTCCCCTGACCGAAATATATTGGGAAAATTTCCGAGAAATTGGAAAATGTTGGCGGAAGACTGCACAATATTTGGGGCAAGAAGGTTGACCGAAATATGTTGCCAAAATTTTTGCAACATATTTCGGTCAAGGTTCTTGACCGAAATAGTGATCCAGATTTGAAAAAAAAAATTAAATTATTTAATAAACTAATGGTTATTTGGGTTACTTAATGAATATTATAAAAACATTTAGTAGTAAAATAATTTGAAATTTTTATAATTGTTAAAATTAGTATGTACAATTGTTATTATTTGTTTAGTTTTTTTAACAATAATTCAAAATTTGTATGATTTCTAGTACTAAAATAATTTGAAAATTACATATATTCAATTTAGTAAAAAAAAAACTTCCACATTTGTAATCATAAAAGAATATAATACAAAATACATAAAAGAATTACAATGGAATCATATAAACTAGATAGTGAAAAAAAAGAAAAAAAAGAAACATATGTAGATAAGTAAATTACCTCAATTTTCTTCCATTCTTCACCAAATTAAGGAACCTATTTAAATAAAAAATTAAATCATTAGTGGAAGCATAAAAATATATATAAGAAAGAAGTAAAATAAAAAGAAATATGAAAATAAAAATAAGAAAACTTTTATTTAAACCTTAAATTCTAAATTAAGAGAATTAAAAAATTAAACAAAAGTAAAATAAGAATGCGGAAGAAAGATATAAGAAAGAAGGAGAGATTGAGAAAAAAGGAGAAGAGTGAAGCACTATATATAGAAGTAGATATTGATTAATTCGAATAGGTAAACTCACCGAAATAAAAGACAAGAATTTCGAACCTCCCCGCCCAAAAATACTGGGGTTGAGGCAGGAACAAAAACTAGTTCGGTCAAGAAAAATGACCGAAGTAATCTAGGTACGAAAGTAATTATTTGGATATCTTTTTTCGGTCAATACCCTTGACCGAAATAGTGAACACTTTTGATTTTTTCGATCAAGGGTATTGATCGAAATAGGGACCACTTTTTGCCATCTTTCACTGCACTTGTTCCTTTGCTCGGTTAAGGTTTTCACTTATTAGTTTAGTTTTTGCTGTTTGATGTTTCCTC